AACTCCATCCCAGATCACCTACCTTTCTCTTGGGTTACTGGTGCAATCCCAATAAACAGTGGTCTAAAAAAAGCTTGATGTTTAAGGCATCACTAATTTGCTTCACATAAGTAGAGATATCTTAATAATAACTTAAATTTCTATTCACAGCCGCTTCCAAAGCAGTTCAAACCCCCTGCGTACAGTACACTCAAGATCTGCTAAAGATCTTGGATGAAACTCCAGCTTTTTTTGGAAATCACTCTCCCATTCCTGCATCCCAGCGGTGACATTTTTAGAGGAAATTTCCCATTGAAACAATTCGCCCAATCCGGAAAAGTCCCATGCTTTTTACTCAGGTTACATCTTTTAAGAAAGAGCACTCCCGTCAAAACACATGCAGCTGCAATGACATTACATGGGCAGTGGTTATATTATTTTTAATCGGGTGTTCACTGTGGTTTTAATCAGATATTTAACCAACTCACAGCCCTAATTACAAGTTTTTAGGTGAGGGCTCACAAGTGAACACTTCAAACGCCTCTCAGAAGTGATGAAATTCACTGTTGCACATTTACAAGTGAGAATATGTGCACATATCCAAAGAGTTTTATGGGTGCCATCCATGATGCTAGATATGTGCTATAGAGCCATAAAACAGTGAGGGGATTCATTAGTCTGGAGGAGAGCAGGTCTGAGAGAACCGACTTTAGGAACTAAAAATATGAAAACAAGTGAACCCTACCCACCGCAAACCCAAAGTAGTCTGAGTCCAGAAACAAGTTGTAAATTGATGCGTAGGTACATGCCTTACAACATGTTATTTCCAGATGGGTCTCAGAAGGTAGATTGCAACCAAAGACTGGAATTAGACAGGAAGAGAGCACATGAAGGGAAGTTTGTCAACATATTTACTGTCATTTTTGTACCCATTCTGTATTTATTTTGCCCATCTGTTCAACAGTGGTATGGTTCATATGTTAGATGTCACGTAGTTTCCAGTTTATAAAGACAGTCTTATGCAGTGTAGGACCAAAATCTAAATGGACCCAAAGTGGAACCCAGAACTGGAACACACTTATATTTCAGTTCCAGATCAGTACTTTGCAGTTTGGACAGATCTCTACTTTAAACTATTACAGTCTGGTAGAAAATCATCTCTGGATTGTTTTGGCCAACAACTGTTCTTTTAGATAAACACATGCATCTCCCAAGAAATCAGTGAGCGTTGCATCTGAATATTTAAAGGCAGAATTTGGCCCTATGCATGCATGTAATAAACTCATTCCTGTTGCCGAAGGGGAGGGGAGAAACCCTGACCTTTAAAACAATAAACCACAATTTTTGTGTGGTCAGTGATGTGATTGTCTCTGCTGTTTTTTCAGCACAATAAGTAGTAACTCTCTTCCAAAGCCTCTTCTGGCATAGTAGGTGATTATAAAGGTCAAGCAAGGTGGGGAAGAGAACCCTGATCCTCTGAGTTCCATTTAGAAGGAGGGATGGGGAGGGAGGTTTATTTACCAGATGGAAAAGAAGAAAATGGGGAAAAGAAGAAACTTTATTTTGTAGATTTTATTGTATGCAATGGGGAGTTGCTATACAAAACTTAAAATTTAATTCTGTTTTAAAGTACATAACCATTTTCTTTTGAGGTAGGATATAGCTAGTAAAGGAAATTAGAAGAGAGAGCCCCAAACTGAAGTTTCAGAGTAGCAGCCATGTTAGTCTGTATCTGCAAAAAGAACAGGAGTACTTGTGGCACCTTAGAGACAAACAAATTTATTGGAGCATAAGCTTCCGTGAGCTGCAGCTCACTTCATCGGATGCACAGAATGGAACATATAGTAAGATATATATATATACAGATAAGTTGGAAGTTACCATACAAACTGTGAGAGGCTAATTAGTTAAGATGAGCTATTATCTCTATCAAGCATTCTTAAAACTACACTACCCACCTGCTGAAGTGAAAAAACAGATTGACAAAGCCAGAAGAGTACCCAGAAGTCACCTACTACAGGACAGGCCCAACAAAGAAAATAACAGAACGCCACTAGCCATCACCTTCAGCCCCCAACTAAAACCTCTCCAGCGCATCATCAAAGATTTACAACCTATTCTGAAAAATGATCCCTCTCTCTCACAGATCTTGGGAGACAGACCAGTCTTCGCTTACACACAGCCCTCCCAACCTGAAGCAAATACTCACCAGCAACCACACAACAAAAACACTAACCCAGGAACCTATCCTTGCAACAAAGCCCGATGCCAACTCTGTCCACGTATTTATTCAAGTGACACCATCATAGGACCTAATCATATTAGCCACGCCATCAGGGGCTCGTTCATCAGATGAAGTGAGCTGTAGCTCACGAAAGCTTATGCTCAAATAAATTGGTTAGTCTCTAAGGTGCCACAAGTACTCCTTTCCTTAAGCTAAGTATCCTCACACCTTCTTGTCAACTGTCTAAATGGACCATCTTGATGATCACTACAAAAGTTTTTTTCTCCTGCTGATAATAGCTCATCTTAACTAATTAGCCTCTCACAGTTTGTATGGTAACTTCCAACTTATCTGTATGTGTGTGTATCTATATCTATATCTATATCTATATCTATATCTATATCTATATCTTACTATATGTTCCATTCTATGCATCCGATGAAGTGAGCTGTAGCTCACGAAAGCTTATGCTCTAATAAATTTGTTAGTCTCTAAGGTGCTACAAGTCCTCCTGTTCTTTTTCCAAACTGAAGTGCAAGAATAGCATTAGGAGGTATAATGAAGGAAACAAATGCTTAGGGCTTGTTTACAAACTGTGTTTATACTGCTTTAGCTATATGGATATGAAATCAGTATACTCAAAGAGAAGTAACCCCCTAATGTGGACACAATTATACTGGTATACCAGTTTAAGCACTGGTGTAGCTTATTCACATAAATTTGGGAGAATACACTGGACCACTGGGAAGCTTGAGTATAACTGCATCTACATTAGGGGGTATACTGATATAAATATTTTAGTTTAAAAAAAATGTTTTGATTAGAGATGTGTTTTTTTAAAAATGTGTATACACTATGCCTAAGTTCCATGTACAGTTCTTGGGTATACGTGCCCAAGATTCTAATGAGATTCTGCAGATTCTAATGAGCCTGATGGGAGCTGGATGGGAGCATCTATGGACAGAATTTGGCCTGAAGTCTCTTGCATTGCTCTTCTGCAGTAGACGTGTATGTCTAGCAAAGACAGAATTCTGCCCTAGCATCAGTAGAGTTCAGATATTTGCTCAGCTTTCACATTTCTGTTTTACCAGCATGGCAGTTATGACATGCTTTCTTGCAGTGTTTTCCCAACACCACTTCTACGTAGTTGAATACGTTTAAATGTATATGTGGAAAACAGCTAATAATTCTGGTCTCAGTATGCTGCAGCTTGATTAACTGCGCTTCAGTTAGGCTGTTCTGCAGTTCCACACGTTGTTTCTCCAGAGCACATACCTAAACAAACTTTTAATGTGTAACTGCCCATCTGAAGTAGTGCCGTTATGTCCCAGAAAGCTCTGCTTCTGTCAGTTACAACAGGAAGTGCTGTCTGCACTGTTTCTTTCAAACTGTAGCAGGAAGCCAGGTATCATGGTGCTGGGGAGGTTCTAGGTGGCAGCTCCACCATAGTGAAGTCGTAAATGAAACAGAGTTGCTTTTGGGGTAACACTGTTTTCCTTATACTAACAAAGTTCCTTGTTCAGTGTGGAAGTGATGCTTTTTGAGATTCTTTCCCATTCATCTCCACTGCACAAGGATCTTGGCAGTCTTTAGCTTCATTTCAGATTTTAATGTGGGCTTAAGGGGTGCAGAGAGAGTGGAGCAGGCTTTTGGCTCCAGAATTCATTTCAGCTCAAATATCCTGTGGAGCGTAACAGGATATTTGTAGACAAAATTCAGAATGGGAACCCGTTCAGGAGCAATGGAGACATAAACAGAAGGTCTGGACCGTGGAGGACTTGAGGGTTGTAGACAAATCTGTTTGGAGCTTGGTGGGATTTGATGTATGCTCTAAGGAAATAAGAGTAGCACTGGGAAGAGGTAAACTCTCTCCCATGAGATGATTACAGCTGGGTCACTTTCTTATTTAGATGTTCATGCAAATTAGAAAATTGAGTTTCTACTTCTTTATGCTTAGATTCTGCAGATGCTAATGAAGCTCATGTGGGGAAGTCATCCCTCTACCCCAGCTTGCTTAGATCCATGGCAATCTAGAAAGCCCCTGCTTCATCCCATGACCTTCCTCCCTTTGATCTTCCCAGAACACCCTTTGTACATTTGTTCATCCTATTGCAGCAGCTCTTCTGCCACTGCTCAGTCCAAGTGTTGCGCTCTTCAGGAGCTCATAATCCTGGGGCTTGCGGGAGTTTATTAAAGGCTTATTGTTTCGGAAAACAAGGATCTGGTTGAGGGCTGCAGTCAAACTGGGGAGTTACTGCATAAACTGGCAACTGACAAGAATGACCCTCATTTGTCTGACTTCATTGCTTTTCTCTAGTCTATAAAATGTTACAAGAAAGATGAATATGCAGAAACATTGACCTTTGGTATGAGAGCTCCATAAAAAACATGGTATGGTTCCCCCTCCCCCCCCCGCCCCTGCAAACTCCTTGCAATATTTTAAAAATATATGACTCCCAATACAGAAAAATGGAATAAAACTATACACAAGTTTGTGTTCTGTTCACATCACAAGCCACTCTGGGTTTGCTTAATTAGAACCACAGTATTAGTCATTGCACAAGGATTAATTTTTAACACAGCACTGAACCTATCACCAGGGAGATCTATGTAACAAAAGATTCTTCATTTGTTGTAGCTGCTTATGAGACAAGGTTTTTTGTTGTATGTGTTTGGTTTTGTTTTTTTTTTTTAGGGAAGGGGGGGTGTCTAGTACTTTGATTGGTGTAGATGAGAAACTTCTCCTAAAGCTTGCTCGTATGCACTTCTTTTCCATTAGAAAAGAAGTCTGGTAACTAACTGGCTTCAGAGCTACATTACATAAGGACACAAATGGTTAGTAAGAAATATTTAGGCTGTAAGTTAGACACCTAAGATCACAAAACACGTTTGAAGGTGGCTTATGAAGTCTGGCAGCAACGTAAAACAACTTTCAGCAGTTTTTAGGATGACGTCATTTCTTCTTCACTTTTACTAGCTGTAAAAATTGGAGACAGCAATCAAGCAATTGGAGAGGGAAGTGTGAGGCTTGATTTGTTGTCTGCAGCACTGAAAGATGTTCAGCAAACTAGCCTGGATTATTTTCCTAATGCAGTCTGGGTTTATAGAAGGGCAATGGTGGTGGCAACGGCTGTGGGGCACCACACAAACAACTACTTCACCTGTAGCCACAACTGTCAACACTATCACTTTAAATGTAAGTGTGCCTAAAGGCTACGTAACAAATGGAGTTTCACGGAGTCGGACTACAGGTAGCACAAGGGCTCCTGCAGGGAGCATCACTTCTACTGTATCTTCAGGTGCCGCTGGAGTTTCTTCTGAATCCACTTTGCCAGGTGGAGAAGCAGTAATTAATTTTTCCAAGAAAAAAGCTCTCTCAGAACTGGACTTAAAGACAGGAAAGAAAATAAGTCAGGGGAAACAAAAGAAAACAGGTAATACTAGCTGTAAAATAATAAACTACTACGACAAAGCAAATTTCAGTGTTGTGTTTTTTAACACTTCATATGGCAGGAAAATATGAGTGTGTGTTTATATATCCTTAGAGAGTAACTGCCAGAGCATATCACAGGGGCTTCTGTAATCGTCTTAAAATTGAAATGATACCACGCAGAGACAGTTGGAAATAATTGCCATGTGATTGTAGTATCTTTCCTTGTGCATGCTGGAAGTGGATGTTGGCAGTAACAAAGCAGTATCTATCTTTAGTGTCACACTGCTGCAAATGAAAGTCAAGATTTTAGTTCATGATATTGACTTTCACTGTAAGTAGTTGGTACTTAACAGCAAGAAAAATGTCAGAAGACTGTGTCTGCTGGGACTAGACTGTACACCTACAACTCTGCATGTAAAAGTATCAAAACTCTTCATGCTGTCTAAATGTATTTGACTTTAGCAAGTAACTGGCAGAAGCACTGACCAAAAAATGCTGTCATAATTGAGGTATTAGTTTTTTTCTTGAATAGATAAGACACCAATTCCCTGATGATTTCTCACCAAAAATAGGGAGAAATCAGAAATCTGTTAATGACTCTCCCATACAGTACAAGGTTGTATGACTATCACACAAATATAGATATGAGCAAAACAATAAAGGGGCATGTTTTCACCTTATAGAGACTTGTGCAGCTAAAACTCCATAGACGAGTTTGAAAATATAAGGATTAGCAGCATTGCAATGTGAAATTCCTTTGTTGCAAATTAAAATTTTATGCTGGTAATTAATAAGGGACATTTGGGACTGTCTCCTGGGGATCTTAAGTTAATTGTTATATTCATCCTGTTATATAATATCAGACAGACACACACTGGAGAGCTGCTTTCAAAAGGAAAGAAAGTGAAAACAGAGACGTTAGAAACCAACATGCACAGAAAGTAAATAGACTTATTTTGCTTTTTATTTATTTGTGCTGTGTCCTTGAATTCTGGGCTTAATGGACTTCTCTGACTGAGTCTAAGCTAACTATCACAGCAAATAGCACAGTGCAGACATGAATACAACACAATGAGCATGGGGCCGGCAGGCATTGTCAAAATTTATACACCATTTACCACTAGTAGAAATGGAAATAATAGCAGCTATCTCTGTGAAGTATCAGCAACATACGTGAATACAGTTAGATAATTAGTCAGGGACTTGAGGCTAAATTATCCTCTCAGAATTGACACCAGAACAACTCCTCTGAAATCAAGAGGGTTACACAGGTGTGTCAGAAGGAGAATTTGGCCACCAGTCTTGAATCCATTGGCCAAATTCTCCTTCTCCTCCTGATGCAAGTAATCCCACTGGCACAGGAGGTGGTCTGTTTTACTTTACAGTACCTTGTACTTTCCAGTTACATTTTCTGCTACATCCCTTTCGTCCAGTTGATCAATACAGGTATTGTACATGTTTAGACTCTTTAGACTCGGAAGGTCAAATTCAGCAGTTGTAAAGGGTTGCAAGTCAGACATCTGCAAAAGGATATGAGTCTAAAGAGAATCTGGGTCTAAATCTGAGTCTAAACTGGTGGAATTTACATGCTGAGGATAAGCAGGTACATTTTATGATTTTAAACTCCCCTTTGAACCTGGCCCATTGAATCAGGTTGGAGGAAGGGTGGAGAATCACTGAACCTTAAATGTTTGGGTACCTAACTGGAATGGAGTTGGACCACTTTGTGTTGTATTATCTCCTCTATCCCAGGTACTGAGGTATTAGAGGTAAATTTAAGCAGCGTTAGTTTCGGTTCTGCAACTGTGGGATTAACAGCCTGACAAGCAAAAAGGTTAATTTACAGCTGACTATATATGGGTGAAATCCTGGCTCCACTGAAGTCAATGGCAGAACTCCCATTGGCGTCACTGGGGCCAGGATTTCACCCTAGGAGTCTAGGTTAAAGAATAGTTCCTCCACTCTCACGTATCCTCAGACTTCAGCTCAGTTTTCCAGGCCATAGAAGTGAAGTACAATGAGCCCTGCTATTATTATTTTTTTATTTGGTTTGGCTAACTTTCAGTACTTTTTTTTCCCCTTAAAAATGTAATCTCCTGCCAGACAGATGAACAACATAGAAAAAGGAAAAATTAGGGATGCATACCAGAACCAACATTGGGCCCCAAATATTATTTGGATAGAGCTGCTCTCCACCACCCCAAACCTACATTTTCTCTTCTTTATCCCCTCCCCAGTGTGAGGGGCATCGCCCCTCTTCTCTCCAGTCTTGACAGAGAAGGCCAGCATGCCATAATCCTCTACCCCTACCATGTATAGGTTCTGGGGGTTAGCACTGGCATCCTATTCTCATGCGTTGCTAGCCTGTTGGCTGGCCCTTCACACTGTTTTTAGCTGCACTAGCTAGATTAAAGCTAGCATGGGTATGCCAACCTGAGGTGCAATCATACCTCAGATTGCAGCATGGTCATACCCTGAGGCAGTGGTTCCCAAACTTTAACAACCTGTGAACCCCTTTCACTAAAATGTCAAGTCTTGTGAACCCCGTCCTAAAAATGAATATTTCCAGGGATTTTCTCCTTTTTCTGAGTATAAAGTATAAAAGCGGTGATCTTGGAAATATAAAATTTGTTTTTATGATATGCTTATTACACACTATTTATTATTATTATTTATCATTACAGTATTTTTATTACATTATGAAAACGGCAACACTCTTCCAAGATCTCACTTTCGTAGCTTGTATCACTTTGAATAAGCCAGTTATAAGACGAGGCTCCTATGTTTCATCAAGGCATATCAGATGTAAAACAGCATGAAGGTATTTAAGAAGCCAACTCAAAGCTTCTTAAACTCGTATACAAGCATTCAAGTCTTGAGCAGTCCAGGCAAACTAACAAAGCTTAAACTTGTTCTTCATAATAATTTAAAAACAACACTAGCAGCCTATTTAATTTTAAAAACAGCAAAAAATATCCACCTCCATTTCCGTTTCTTATAAGGAGTCCTGAAGTTTAAATCTCCTCAGTGTGATAGGTATGCTTGCTTTGATCAGCTTAGCTCTTGGAAGTCCAGGGGCTCCAGGCTGCTGGCCCCATGCTGCCTGGGGTCCCTTGGGATGGCTCTGTCCGCCATTAGGGAATTTTTTCCCAAGAAACCCTTGTAACATTTTGTGAACCCTCAGGGGTTCATAAACCCCAGTTTGGGAACCACTGCCGTGAGGGAAGCCCTTGCAAGCCTTTTTGTTCTGACTTAGCTGTGGCAAGAAGCCTGAGGAATTGGTATGTGATCCTGGAATCTTTCTCTGGAAGGGGATCTTCACTCTAACTCCCTCTGACCACCCACCCCAAAGACTAGGCAAGGGATGTAGAAGATTCAGGGCCCAAATAGCAGCATCTTTTGTGCTAACAGGCATTCAAAGATTCAGGATTTGCGCATCCTTAGAAAAGAGGTATAGGTCATATTGTCCATTTCTCCCTTCTTCTCCTCAGTTTAAACTGCAAGTTGCCTGTTTAAGTTGTGTTTTTTGTTCGTTTGGTTTTTTTTTGGTTTAAAATGGCACTGGGTAAAATTAGAAGGTTTGTTTCTTTTAAAGTCAACGATTTTTTTGGTTGTTTCAAAACTGTTGGCATAAAGGAAGGGGTGCAGGGAGTGACACTGGAAAATCGGTCCTGTAATTTCCTGCTCCTCCGAATAGTCCGTGTTCATCACAGCTTGTTTAGAGTACTGGCTTCTTTTTTGTTTGTGTATCTAGAAATAGTGTGTGATAACATACTTGACCCTATTTTTAAACGCCAGTTAGCATATATAAGTGCCTGGAGTTGTTTTTGCTTTGGAGCTGGGGGGGTCTCTGATGCTTCTTTACTCCTCCTTATCCCAGAGGGGAGAAATTGCCCATCTACCATGTTGAACCAGCAGAATGTAAAAAAAGATTTTTGTTTTTTGGTTTTTTTGGTCAGACCTCTTATAGCTAATTTCATGATAAATTTCCCTACAATGACTATAGTATTCTTGGAATAAATTCCAGAAATTAAGTCACTCCGTCAAAATTCTGTACAGGAATCAGCTTTTAATGAAACTACTGTAATTCCACAAATTTCATTTTCAATGCAAACATCTTACAGAGTAAACCCATACAATTTTCACAGAGCTTCATATCAAAACTTATATCTAAAATCAAAATCTCACTTACTGTTTTCATTATTTTTCTTAAAACATCTGTATTAATTTATGGGCTAAATGAAACTCATTTAAAGTAACAATCTGGAATGAAAACTTTCTTTTGTTCTTTGCCTGACAGCTTGTACTTTCATTATTTTGAAACTATGCAGGCAATCTAGATCACATGTTCAGAAGATTAAGAAAAATCCCTTCTATAGAGTCAAAGGGATTAGTCTCTGCTTTAGTGTATTGTGGTCTCTGTAAATTTAAAGAAAGGAAACACTGTAATTATTGTATATGACAAATCATACACAAGAATGTGATAGCAACTGATTTAGGGCCAGTTTCAATAGAAACTCCATCCAATGTTTTGTTTAAGGCCATTCAAATTACCCTAAATCATTTTTTTACAGGGCTTGTACAAGATTATACATCACTAAAGCTAACGAGTTTGTATAATAAAATTGGACTTTATATAATTTAAAATTAATAGGGCTGTTTTCCTTCCTGTTTGGTACAGTAGGTTTTTGACTCTTACGGTGTAAATTAATTATGTGTTTATCTGTTGGTCTTTCTAAGTATTTATGTAGCACTCACCATTATGGTATTTGAGTTGTGGGTGCATTTGTGACCATAATGATTATATATAGCTAAGTTTTGGTTTATAAGCTATTTGTTGTTAAAAATTGTAACAAAGACTTAATATTAAAAGAAATGTGAGTTGCTGGATAACATGGCAGTTGCTGCTGTTGGTATATACTTAATCCTGCCTCAGCATGTGGGGATGGACTAGATCAGTGCTACTCAAAGTGGTGGTCTGTGAACTGGTGCCAGTCCGCG